GAATTTAAACCTGAAGACTTACAATTGGAGTGCTAATAACTGGATTTTCATTTACCTTAATGTGTCAAACTCCTTTAGGGACAGCTTCTAACAAAATCCAACAACCACAAAATCACTGCCCATTGCCCACTGCAATCCACCCCCTGGTCCGCCCAAATGCGCTCCTGTGCTGCAGCTTGTGTGTGCCCGAAAACATTGGCACAAGAAAATATGAGAAGCTGAAAAAAAATCTTATGGGCCGAGCTGTGCTATTAATTGTTTTATTAAGACATTTCAAGATTTAACATGCCAGATACGCTACAGCAGCAATTGCAGGGCATGGCAGGCCGTCGAAGGGGAAACAAACCCAGCTTAGACCCCTCTCAGAGACTTGAGACAGCTCTCCTTGTGTAGGGCATTGAGAGAGTGCCACAAACTTGACCCACACTCGGGGATCGGCATGGATCGGATCGGACTCTCTCTGACTTTGACTTTGACTCTGATCTTCTGCATCGGTGCTGTGCGCCCGCAAGATGATGATGATGATTATTATCATTATCATTTTATGCGCTTGACTGCGTGATCGGCGCGGCGCTTTCGGGATGATGATGAGAATTTTGGTGTGGTCTAAGGTCTCCGAGCCGAGCCGAGCCGAGCGAGTCTCGAGTGCTTTGCATCTCTTTGATCCGTGGAAGATTGATGTTAATGTCGGTGTGAACACACTTATTCGCATATTTGTTTTGCTGATGTGGTGGCAACCCTGCCCATGGGCCATGCCACACACGACGATCGTCCCATCCCATCCCGTCCCGTCCCGTGAGCTATCGCCACTAATAGAGCCATAAAGCGAACATTTATTGATCTACAAATTATTTTGAGCTGCCGCTGAGCATCGATCGCATCGGCTCTTCACTTGGTATTTTATTTTATTTTATTTTGTATTTTATTTTTTGGTTGGTTTGGCTTTTGGGTTTCGGTGGCTTCTGCTGTGGTGGTAGTCGTAGGGTAGGGTAATCTAAATATTCATTAGTCGCTTGATTGGTCGGTTGATCGCCTCAGAGATCGCAGCGTTCTTTGTTTTAATTTCATTTTTATGGCCTCAAGCAACAGCCCCAAATAAACAGGCACAGACACACTCACTCGCGGGTGGTCCATGGAGATCAAAGTTCCTGATGTGTTCATTAGGGTGAAAGTCAGTCAGTCAGTCAATCGACAGAGAGGCTGATGGCTGGAGGCTGGAGGCTGAATCTAGAGCGGTTGATTGCGTTAATTGAGAGGCCGTAAAAGTGCATTAATTTAGTCGAAATATCCATAGAAGCGTAAAGTGTTCACACCTCAATTGCACAAAAGCCAAAGCCAAAGCAACGAGTCTATTAAGGCAGGCTCAAGCAGCCGAGATACATAGCTTTAGATACAGATACAGATACTTTGGCTACCCATATCAGTGTCGTCGTCGTCGTCGTTGTTGTACTTGAGGTCTCCCCTCCCAGCTGTCTCCGAGGCAGTGGCTGCCACCTGATGATGCCCCGCTGTATCGATTTCAGTTGCTTAATGAAATTGTTTGCTAATATCAGCGTGAAATGCGGTTTGCAATTTGTCAAACCAGTTGGCCAGATCCATGGACCCAATCAATGTTATATCTGTAAGCGATATAGCTGAACCGATGTAGCAGCAGGAGGAGCAGCAGGAGGAGCAGGAGAAGGCTTTGATTTGAGGTGTGAGTGCGCTTCGCAGTTATTCTCGTTGGGACTCACTCCCCTACATACGAGTCTGTGTATATTTTCATTTACTTTCATTCGCCGACTTCAATTGTCTTTGGGTTTTGTTTTCTTTTATTGTATCCACATGTTTTGTGACACCTCCGACTCCCTGTGGCATATGCAATGAAGCAAGCGCCTTGGGATGAAAGGCCAAGCGAGTGGGTGGAGGGACACGTTTGACAGTGCCAATTTCATATGCAAAGCTGGCAAGGGCTATGCAAATCAGTTGTGGTACGCGTAATAGCCGACAACAACCATGCACCATGCAACATGCACCATGCAACATACACTACTGATAGAGCAATTAAGAAATATTGTGCTCGTATGTTTAAATATTTTCATGCAGGAGAGCAGAAATTATGCGCTGGAATGCTGTCATGTTTGCCTTTGGCGTTGGTTGAGCGCTTAAATGGCTATTTTTGAGGCACCAGGTCCAGTCCCCCCCCACCACCACGGCCACAGCCACAGCCATAGCAGCGATTGAGCGATAGACAAAACGCTGACAGAGTTGCCAGCCATCGGCATCGTTTGTCATCCATCCATACTTACATCTATCTATCTATCCATCCATCCAACCATTGCGAGTGTCGCACTGTCTCCGTGTCAATCATTTCAATTAAACGTGCAATCAAATCGATGAGCAACGCGTCGTCATGTCAATATTCATCAGCCTGCGATTGACGCTAACCGCAGCTTTAATTTGCCCATTCCCCCCATACCCCATACCCCATACCCGTTTCCAGCCGCGAATCGCCCTAATCTGATGATCAGTTTTTGGTGGATTGCCATCCATCATAGGCCCGTCCCGGCCCGGCCCGGCCCGGCCCTGCCCTGCCTGATCCATCATCGATGGGGCAGGGCGGCGCTGGAGCTGGAGCTGGAGAGAGAGCTTTCACTTTTTCACATGTAAATATTGTAAATATTGCCCCGACAACGTGTTGTCTTTTATGGCTTATTAATGATCTTGACTCGAATGTGCGATCATTAGATACAGATACAGATACAGATACGAGTGTGCCCCAGCCAAGATCTAATCGGAGAGGAGAGCCAAATGTTGTGTCTCCAAACAGATCGCTTACAACGAAGCTCGGCTCCGACTACGGCTACGGCTCCGGCTCATGTGACTGGTTCTGCCTCTGCTAGAGGGGGCTACGAGAAGGGGGGGCCGCGACCAGAGGACAGACCGGCTCCAGCTCCACATCTCTGTATCTGTAGCTGTAGCTGTACGAGTATCTGTATCTGTTTCAGTCTCCGTTTCTGGCTCTGTCTTTGAGTTTGGGTCTGGGTCTCTGTCTCTGTCTGTGGCTCCCCTGTGACGCGGTCTGGTCGCGACTGTGTGTGGCCCGTTAGTTTGAGATCTTTATAAGTCAATTTCGGTTTTCTGGGATCTGAGAGTTCTCTGTTCCAGTTCTCTGCGCTCTGCGCTCCGAGCTCTGAGTTACGAGTGTCGTTGGAGGGGACACTCCCTACCTTTTTGGACTATATGCTCCTGAAAGGAAAAGCCAGGGAGCAGGCAGAGCATCGATCGATCCTTAATTGCGCCCTCACATTCGGTTTCATTCATTTGCTGATCAACGGGATGCCTGCTTTTGGCATTTGCAACTCATGTTAAGCATAAATAAAACAAATGCGTTTACTTTAAACATATGCCCCCAGTGGCAGGCAGCGAGACGAGACAGCGGCTGTAGCCGTAGCTGCGCCACTCTTTTTGCTGGCTCTGCTGGCCCCGGCCAAGAGTTGCTGTTTGCCGTTGCCAAGTTGGGTCATTGGGGCTGGCTGCTGATGAAGACATCTTCCCGTTTTTGTTTCGCCTGCTGTCTGCTGTCTGTTCGTAGTTGTTGTTGTTGCTGTTTTTTTTTATTTAGTTTTTTTTTTGATGAGCTTCTGGCAAATGAAAAGAATTTATGTGAATGTGCGAAGACGAGGCCGAGCGTTCAGTGTTCAGTTTTTGGTTGAGCCAGGTTTTAGCATAAAACAAAGCCAATACTACAATTGGACATCTTTTTGCTCTGAAGGAAGTCTAAAATACGGAGATATTGGCAGCATCCCAGGGCAAACAGTTTGAAAAGCGCAGAGCTGGGCTTCAGTTGGAGAAGCACCTCAGAAATGATCAAACTTCAAGGCAAATACTCTAACAAAAAACTTCCCAGCGTAGTTCTTGGAAGTCTAGATAAGTCTTCAAGAGATTTACCAGTAATTACTCAGCCACTGCTCATCCTAATCGATCCCATAGATATCCCTTTAAGTGTTTCCCGCCCACTTGTAACGAAGCTCCACTCTTAAACAGTCCCTGCACCATCGTTGATTGAGTTCATATAATTTATATTAAAGCCAATTTGAAGGAACCCCAGGGCCAGGGCCAGGGCCCAACCCTCTGGTAAAAATAACTTTGAAACTTTTATTGTGTCAAAGCAATGAAAAATTTAACACGCTATAAATCACAATTTCCACAACAACAGAACAGAGGAAAACGCTGGGCAACAGCGAAAAAGATTTGACGCTGCTGTTGCGGCAATTGTTGCATTTGTGGCGGGGGTGGAACGGCGAGAACAATGCCAACCCCTTGGCAATGTCCTTGCGACGCTGTGGCATGCAGCTTGAAGCTTATCGCCGCTTGCCAACGTGCGGGTGCCGCCTGGTGTGTCGGGGTCACCATGACGCGGCAGCCACCAACACCATTCAACGTCTCCCGGTTGTCTGACAGGTTCAAGGTCTGCGTATCCGTCCGCCTCCGCTCCCGGAGAAGGTATTTTTGCTGTCGGCTGCGTGTGAAATTTAAAACCGTGATAACACCTCCTAATAGTCACGCCTCCGCGCTCCAACTTTCCTTTCCTTATTTCCTCCTGTTTTTTGTGGATGTTTTTTTTGTTTTGTTTGCTGTATGTATTCCGGTTTAATTTCGCGCCCTTCGGCCGCTTTGGCATTTCGTTGACAAAATTGATTTGTTCAATTTTTCCAACGATTTAACTTAGGGCATGACTTGGCTTGGCTTGGCTTGGCTTCGTTGCGTTGCCATTAGTGCCGCTACATTTGTTTTGAAGGTTGTTGCCTGCCGGTCCCCGCAGATAGGATGAAGGGAATTTCTGCACGTTTTGCCAGCGAAAAGTTTGGGTTTGTGTCCGCTGACGTCGTGGAATTTAATCAATTTCCGATATTTTATTGATTCACGTTAAAAGTAAATTAAATTTTAAATTGTTTACCCCAACAAATTCTACTTGATTTCTAACACTTCTCCAATCTTTTCTTTTTATATCGTTGCAGGTCGAAGTAAGTAAACGGAAGAGGACGAGCAAAAACTGGAGTGAAAGTCAGTCAACGGGAAATTTAAGTGAATCAATGTGACGGAGGTCAAAGTGTTGTAGTTCAGAGTGGAGTAGCACAGCATGGGGAGGACAGGGTTTTCTGCAGAAATAAGCGCCAGAGGATTCAAAGAGTTGAAGAATACCAAACATCGATGGAAAGCCAAAAGTGGGAAAATAAATCTAAGGAATTTATGGTTTAGAAATCGGTTTTGTAGGAGCATCCATTTCGAGTCAAAATTAACTTCTTAAAACTGTTGCAGTTGGTATCCACACTCAGCGCAGAATTGCCTCATTCAAACATTTGAAAATTTACTCAAGAGTTTCTTGAAAGTCCTGCCACAGGACATTCCTTTCCCAAAATGCCTTATGATAGATGAAGCTCTTAAATTACAAAATACTTTCGACATATTTCCGTTCGAGCTTCCATCCCAAAAAACCAAGAGAAGAGAAGCACATCTTGCGGTCACTTGAAGCTTCGGCTCTGACCAAAATATTCCCATTAGTAAAACCTCATAATTGCTTCATCTTCCGCTTTTCCATTTCCATTTTCCTTTTCAGTGTCAGTTTTCAAACTATTTTCAAAACGAGCGCAACTTTTGAGACCCATCCAACCCATCCACCCGTCTTCCACTTTCACATTTTGGATAGAATTTTATTTGCTTGGAAGAGGTTTTCCAAACCCTCATCAAGTGGGGAGGCCGGGCCCCGATTCTCTGCGGCTGTCTGCCTCGAACGCTGTTAATTAAATCCAAGACAACTCAAGTCGGGATGATGCCCACGCCCACTCTACACCCCTGCCAGTGGGGGTGGCTCCAGACAACCGGGGTGGTGAAATTAGCCACAGTCAAAAGTCATTGCGTTGATTACTTTTTGAAAATGACGCGAGCAAATTTCCCAAAAACTTTAATTGTTTTAGCTGGTCCGACATGATGGCAGTTGGGGTGGGGGCTTGGGCGGGTATGAGGGTCGTTCCTCTGGGGTTGTCTGGACGCATTTAAATTTGAATTAATTGCCGAGCATCGCTGCATATATGAGGCGCAGGATTTATGTGTGCTCGATGAGTCGGCAGGCCAGGTCCAGGTCCAGTCATGTTGATGCCATTAAGCGCTCCCTGGAATTTTTATGACCCACCTCATCTCACACACACCATCCATCTCTCTCTCTCTCTCCCACTCTCGCGCTCTCTCGCAGGTCCGCGAGCTCGCAAACCCAAGAAACCATCGACGGCCAGTGCCGCGGGAGGCAGCGGGAGCAGCGACAAGGGGGATACGGATGCTGGCAACGTGCCGGAGGACAAGCGGCCGCGGACGGCCTTCAGTGGACCTCAGTTGGCCAGACTGAAGGTGAGTAGATTCCAATCGATGGATTATCCGAGAGTGTTTACGTTATCTCTTCCATGTCCAATAATCGATTATACAATCGTAGTGAAAGCAAATACTGACCTTGACCCACATTCTCTCCATCTCTCTCTCTCTGTCTCTCTTTCTGTATCCTCGACAGCACGAGTTTAATGAGAACCGCTACCTAACGGAGAAGCGTCGTCAACATCTGAGCGGAGAACTGGGCCTGAACGAGGCACAGATCAAGATCTGGTTCCAGAACAAGCGGGCCAAGCTGAAAAAGTCGAGCGGCACCAAGAACCCATTGGCCCTGCAGCTGATGGCCCAGGGCCTGTACAACCACTCGACGGTGCCGCTGACCCGCGAGGAGGAGGAGCTGCAGGAACTGCAAGAGGCGGCAGCCGCCTCCGCCGCCTGCAAGGAGACCTCGTAAGGGGACGGGACGGACCCTTCGGTAGCAATATGTATCTACGATTAGTATTTATGGAGTAGTCCGTAAGCCTAGTGCCCTAAGTTGTACAATATTCTAGTCCCGCAGTGCCGCACAGAGAGGTGGAGTGGGAATCGGATTCAGATTCGGATTTGGAGTCCCCTCGTACCTCGTCCCTCTGTTGCGTGCGTGTTTTGTATAATATCTAATAGATTCATAAATTCACAACTAAATAATTTAATAAACATTTAAATTATACGCATCTCGTGATCGTTGTCATTATGGTGGAATTTTTGCATAATTCGTGTTTAATTTTCATATCTCTTTATGGCCCACAACCAATCGAGGCCAGGTGGGTGGTCTATCGTCCAGAGGTTGGCCGTAGGCGTCGGCGTCATCATTAATTACTCAATTAACAATCCAAGTTTGGATCGTATTGGATCGTATTGGATTGGATTGGATTGGGTTTGGACTGGCGCAGATCAAGAGATTGGCCGCAATTGCGGGGCTTACATTCGAATGAAATTCATTATGCAAATTGGATTTCAAAGCGCTATCTTTGAGCATAATCGCGGTTAATAAACGACTCCGACCGATGCCTAGCATTATACTACGAGTATTATTAAATTCTCTTTTTTTCCTCGTTTCTCTCTTTCCTCTAATTTAGCCATTAAATTTGCATATACACACACACACACATGGCTCTCCCTCCCTACCACTCGGGGCTTGTGGTCTTGTGTGTGAGTATTGCCAACGGCACAAATTGACACCTTGACGGCAAAAACGGCGTCAACGCGACGGCTACGGCGGCAGAGCTTTGCTTAAAGTGCAGCGTCAACATCGTGTAGGTGTTAAATGTGTCTGTCATTGCGGCGATGGGGTTTTACCAGCGGGTGGGTGGCAGAGAGAGAAAGAGAGAGAGCGGTTCAGAGATGAAGACAGAGGAAGATCTTCCACATGTCTTGACGAATATTTTTTTATTAATAAGAACCCAACGCCTGATCAAAGAGAGTATAGAAATCTTCGGCTTCAAAACACTTCCTTTTTTTATTGTTTTGTCTTTATCTTTTCTGCGGGCAATAAACTTTATGTGTAACAGTTATAGTTGTTGCCTTATTGAATATTTAAATTTTTTGCATATTATGGCAAATCCAACGCATTGAGAGCGGCCCTCCCGACCCCTTTTGTACAAGCTTGACAGTTGTGCTTAACGGCGAAGGCAGCACCGTTAAAAGCAAAAACAAATTCGCCATCACCTTGGCCTGCGCAAAAAAAAAACGTCTTAATTCGCCGTGAATGATTTACAGTTTGGTTTTGGGTTTCATTGTTGGCGACATTTGTTTGTGCATTGAGCAGGGCGAACAAAGAGATCGGGAGAGAGAGAGAGAGTGCACGGATCCAGCGTAAGCTTAATCAAGGTATACAAGATATTTAGGCAGGGTAAGGCATTCTCAATCTCCAGAGCAAAACAACCAGTCTCTTTCTCGCTACAAGACAATCGCAATTGAGAGAAAACATTTGCAGGCAACTTTAAGAGCACTCGCTTTGAATGCCCCACCTTGTGTGAAAGCACCTTGGGAGAGCAATAACGTAAACTTTATTTGCATGTCCATTCGTGTTCGTCTCTGTGCGTGAGCTGGGCCTGCATGTGTGTGTGTGTGTGTGTGTGGGTGCTGGGTGTGCGTGGGAGTTTTTGCATTTCTTAAGTGATTTTTTATGGCACGCGTCGGAATCGGCGCGACAGAGATATAACTTCATAAAAAGTCAATTTAAGTTTTGTAATATTTTGTTGAATTTATAGTGGAGAGTATTTTGTTTAAGCATAATTTTTTAACGGCTCTGCGACAGTCTGGAGAACCGGAATGCAGGGATACCCTGACTTTGGTTCTTTGCTACGAATGGATTGGCAGGCAAGGAGGAGCAGGATCTCCATGACTCATGGGTCTGGGGTGGGGTGCGAGTATATTACGTTATAAATTCAATAAATGTGACCATAAAAAGGCCCATTCAAATACCTTGCCCGCGTACATTAATCCCGCTGCCTCCTTAACCCTTACCAGCCCCAACCCCCTTCCCCCCTCTTCAGGGACACACATTACAACGCCTCGAATGCTGCCGCTGCTGGAGCTGGAGCTGTCGCTGTCCCTGTCCCTCCGCCAAATGATTAATGTCTGGCAGGTCGCAGCCTTGGCCAGACTCCGCGTCCGAATCCGAATCCGAGTTCGCGTCTGAGTCCGAGCCAGAGTCGGCCCCCAGGCCCCAGTCCGTGTTCCCGGAATGCGAGAGAGAGAGAGAGAGCAAGTAACCCGAAAAAAAAGACAATACGCATAAATCTATGGGGTTGACACTTAGTACCCAAAGACCACAGACTTCAAATGAATTTGTTTTGCACCAGCACCAACACCAGCAACAGCTCAGCAGACGGTGGAGGAGCAGCAGCACGAGCTGACTGGATAGAGAGAGGGGTGGTGGAGGGGAGGGAGAAGGTCAGCTGAGTGGCGAGGCGTCATAAAATTGGCAACAAATTGTTTTTCACGCCGTTTTAAATACACATTTTTTAGCCGATACTTGGAGACCGTTTAATGAGCGAACCGAACGCAGCCGAACCGGGAACGGGCATGGATCGGGAACGGGAACTGGCACCTCAAACCCACGGCAGAGAGCAACTGCACTGAAAGAAATATGCGTTCCCGAAGCAGGAAAATTGTGCTCTAAGATTACAAAACTTCATATCTAAACTAGATTTAAATCAATCAGTCCCGAAACAGTGCAAAAAGGAATGGCAAATCCCTTAGAAAAATACATTCTATAATTTTTCTCTATTCAATTCTCGATTTCTAGTTGGGGTTTTTTTGTACAGTGTAGACGACAGGCAAACGACATTATTCGACTTGACGAACGTTCAGCGTTGGACGTGGTGGCTGGATGCTGTGTGCTGTGTGCTGGATGTTGGATGCTGGACTCTGCCTGCTCGTTCGCTAATAAATTTGCGGCTAAGGAGATAAGCTTATAAATTTTAACTGTAATTATGCGACACAAGATTTATGAAGAGAGTCCGCCAACCAACCATCCAGTCAGCCAGCTTTCCGTTTCGGTCTCGGATTATTAATGAAACACAAACTTACAACGAAATGCGCTCAGCCGCCGTCTCACACCCTGCCACCAGCACCATGCCCACTGGGGTATGGGTATGGATATGGGTGGGGAAGGATAGGCTGAGCGGCACCCTTTTGGCCCAAAACTAGCACGAGATTTACGAGCATTCCCATTCTCCCACTGGCCGCGCATCTAATTCCCAGCGGCTTAATGAGTTTTTGGGGCTGGTGCATGCAAATCTTCCAATTGCTTCCCCCATCCTGCAGCGCCTCCCATCTCTGCTGCGCTTCGCCACTCGGTTTCATTGATCCCATTGATGGGCACCCATGCATATGTATGTATGCATGTAAGTATGCCTGTGGGTGTGGCCTGTCTGACGAGAGATCCAGAGTCTCGGGAAGACCACCCACGTAGCGCCAATCTGATGCCAAGATCTGCGTATTTGACATTGCTGCGTTGCTTTGGCTGGAGCTGGGAGCTGCTGATGCTGATGTTGATGTTGATGCTGCCTCTGCCTCATTACGCCTGCGCGCAGACAAAATCACCAAACCGCCAGAAGAAAAGGAAGGAGAAGGAGAGAAATCCAGCAAACTTTTGGGTAACCGAGGCATTGGATACGCTTGCAGAACATGATACTCACATGATGTAGTAGTTGGCTACTGGGGATCGAAGATCTCAACAGGAGATCCGTAGGCACCACAGAAGTTAACCCAAAGTGCATAATACCTTCTGTCAGGGTATATTGGTGGTTGTGTGGGAGATTTAGTCTAAATCTGCGATATATTCAGCACAATCCCTGATGGAGCAAATGAGTATCATCGCTGTGTGGTGTGGATTATTGAGCTGTACTCGGCCTGAAACAAGAGACGAATCTTTATGGCCACCATAAGATGGTGAACTTTAAGGAGGAGCAAGAAGTGGTCTAGACAAATGCAAGTGGGAGGCAGAGATGAAGATTGTCAAATGAAACAGAGACCTCTTAGCTGAAAATCGATTGAGTTGTGGCCCAGTTTTCCTCATAGTTCGAGTTTCTACGCCACCTCAAAGCCCTACTAGGAGTTTCCCCAACAAAACAAAAACCATAAGGAAATACCTTTGCCACCTGCTCGAAAATGGGGGTTAGTGTAGGCAGCGAACAGACTGATGGGTGGGCTTGGGGTTAATTATGCAATGAAAATACTTCAAAGCTACCGTTGACATATGAAAATGTGGAAATTTCATTACATTTCCATTCCATGCTCAGCCATTTGGCTGCTAACGAGTCATCAGGCCATCAGGAGGGTGGGCTGGGCTGGGCAGGGCAGGGGAGGGGTAGTCGGTGCCATTCGAGGAGCGGAAGTATCTTGTTAACATGCAAAACAAGCCATTTGCGTAAGGTAAGGAAGGAAAGGTAAGCCGGGAATTGGGAGCTGTTTATGAACCTGCCAAAAGTGTGTGCATGGAGCAGCCTGCGGATGGCAGCCTTTGTATAGGTGACTCACTGGAAGTTACTGGACTCGCAGTTTGTGTCTCTGACTGCTTCCGCTTCAATTCAATTAGGAAAAGGCAATCGGAAATGGCAATTGGGAATGTATGGGGATGGTGGGTTTCTAGGGAGGTTTGGGGTTTGGGGCTTAAAGGCGGGGGGACGCGGCCAAAGCCGCATCGTAAAATCTAACGATGTGGCCCAACCCTGGGATTGCATTTTCATGGCACATTTACAGCGCACTTTTAATTGTATCCAATGAGCAGAGTTCCAGAGTTTCAGAGTTCCAGAGACCCAACCCAGTTCATCCGGGCAACCCTTTTCTCACTGTCGCCGGACGCTTAACGCGATTGGACACGCATGTCCCTGCGACGAAGGACTCTGTGGCAGAGGGGATTGGGCAGGGCCGGGCATGGCAATAAACACGTAACCCAAAGCCCAAATAATGTTTAAAGTGTTATAAAACTGTCACCAGGACAACCAGCAGATGTCACTCGAGTGTGCCCTCCTCCCTCCCTGTTGCCCGTCCTTTATCTTCTCTTCTTTGATATTGGTTTTTCGATTAAAATTAAACTCCTGCAACTGTTTACATGGTTAAACATCTGTGACCTGCCCTCCACACACAACAGTGCCAGTGGCAGTGGCATTGTGGCAGTGGTGTGGCAGCCAGGCAGAGTGGCAGTGGAACATCAATTAGACACACTTCAACTCCCCT